GAAATTTTAGGTATATAAACAACGAATATCCCTGGCTAGGAGACTAGAAGAGGACGTAGTGCCCGAAATCGTCTATGCTTTAAAATACGTAGTTTGTTTGGCGCTGCCGACCCATCTCGGAGAGGAACACAGTGGAATTTTGATAATTAATGAAAACACTGAAAGTGCCATTTAGATCCCCCAAATAAGCAGATATGCATATGCAGTGACTTGGTAACCTGTCTATGTGTTTCATCCCTGAGCTGTAAACACAGACGGCAGAATGGGTGCGAAATGCGGTGGGAATCATCAGTACAGTGCTCCATTTCGCCATGTTAAAAGGAACGTTAAAGACCGAAGAGTGAAACGGATCAATCGAGCGTACTTCCGGTGTTCGGCCCCATGAGCATTTCACATTTTGGCCGCAGATTTCTTGACCATTCATTTTGCAAATTGCATTGCATGCCGATTCCTTCTTATCAAAACGAACAAATGCATAGCCCTGGGCTTTGAAAATGCGCACTTCCAGGATACGACCAAATTTGTCAAACGCTGCACGCAGATCTTCATCTGAAAAACGTGCAAAATAATTTCAATTATGCCAAATATTTTTTGATGAAAAACGCAACCGTAAGCAGGAAGGAACCGGAGTTACGGTATTTTACTGGGGTTACGGTAAAACACCGTAAACGGTGTTTCCCCTTTTTTCCTCAACCGTAACTCCAGTTCCTTCCTGGACTTAGCAATTTGGCTAAAAAAAACCCTGTAAATGCTCGCATATACTAGCAAAACATGTAGAAGCAACTGTAATCTCAGAGCTCTGGGCTTAAAACTCTGAAACATAGTTATTGCTGCAAAAGAAAAAAAATTCCGGCTTCTCTAGCACTTCTATGACGCCTGCAATGTGATGAAGCATCCACTGGAAGCCAACACGGCTTACCGGAAGCAGCACATAGAGGTTCTTAAAAAGTGCATCAGAAAAATTTAAAAAAAAAAAAGACCAACAAAATCTCAAACATCACCAATTCCACAACCAGCAACGTAAATTCCAATTTTACTAAAAAAAAAAAAGAAAAAAACTGCACCATTAGCGCTCGAGTTAACACTGCCCACGTAGACCGAGGTATTGTCCGGGCCAGTCTGGTTGAAAACATCATCATAATTCAATTCGGTACGTCCATATTGTCCATCCCCAGCACCAGTGCCAGTTGGCTTACGTGTTGCCCAGTTTGTACGGATTGTTCGACGTCCCAGCCACTGTCCATTCATTTGCTCGATTGCACGTTCCGCTTCCTGAACAGCAATAAAATCAAAATCCTGATACGTTTTCCTCAAAGCAAATTCCCACCTACAAGTTTAAACCCTCTATTTTGCTCGGCTTCAAAAATCCTGAACAAAATCTGCGTCTTCACTTGTTTAAAAACCGGAAATCAATTTAAAAAGCTCGAAAAATTACTTCTCGTTTTGAAAAATTGTGTTTTAACTTATTTAAAACCAAAAATCAATTTAAAAATCTGAAAACTTACTTCTCGTTTTGGGTATGACACAAATCCATATCCCTTTGATTTGAGTGTCGTTGTATCTCGAATGACTTTAGCA